GTGCCCAGACCGGACAACATGACCACAGGTACGACGAGTTTGGAGAAGTTCCGTGACGAGATCTCGGAGGATATGTGGGTCAGTAGGTGCATGGCGTATATATCGTCGGGTTCGCTCGTATCTAAACGTGTGAGGCGCGAGGATGTAGGCGAGGGCGTGCGCGGCTCGCGAGAAAGGCGCTTCATGCGCTGTTCTTCATCGTATGGTATGTCTATTATGACGAAAGTAGGAATGCTGGCTTTGGTGGACTCGACGAGCTGGGTGATCTTCTGTAAGCAGGCCCTGCCGGTGCTGCAGATGTGTACTACGAAGTGTATTAGTAAAGGCGTGGGCGATGGAAGAGGACGGACTACCTTCGCTGGAAATGGACAGCATCGCCTCGACATTGTCGTGCACTTCGCGCGGCGACGTCTTTCCGATAGCAAAGTAGCTCTGTCCTACATTGCCAGTCGTGGTTCGCGCGACGAGCGACTTGGACAGCGTCTCCTTCCGCACGTGCTCGTCGTTGGCCCGCCGGTCAATGTAGACAACATTGCACGCGCCATGTTCCATTGTCTCCGCCTATGTGCGGCGACCAGACAGCACTGGTCTCCAGCGCAGAGGGGAGGTTGTTGGGGAGGTGTCGCAAAATGGGGAGGACGGGTGGTCGCAGAGAGACGTCTGAACGGGTCGGACAGCGTCACGGGAGAGTGCGAGGCGGAAGCGTGGTGGATGGGGTGCAGCCGAGGGCCAATTGGCGGTCGTGAGCGCAGTGGCAGTGGACACAGGAGAGCAGCGGACAGAGTCGAGCGTCCAGAAGCGTGGGGGAGCGCAGAGATGGGACGGCGGGAGTGCGCCGGTTGGTCTGAGATGCACTCTGAAACGACGACGTCGGTGGAAGCCCCAGGGAACCCGGCGAGGCGGCGAGCGGCAGCCAGTGCACACGACACTAAAGTGCAGTGTTTATTGTATACGAGGAAAGCGCAACGGGTGGATGCGACGAGGAAGGCGGGAAGCGACGTGGGAGGGCAGGCGCGACGGCGGGCGGGTGCTGGGCGCGGCTGCCTCTTGGTGTCTCTCACTCGGCGCGCGCGCAACGGGACGTGTCGAGACTCGAGCAGCGCAGGCGGCGTCCTCAGGCGATGGCTCGCAGCGTGTTTGGGGAGCGTCTTGAGCGTCTTCAGGGCGCGGGTGAGGGTTGTAGATGCATGCAGGGGCTCTAGCGGTCCTCGGTGTGTCGCATGAGCGGCACTGCTATGGGCTGCACGCTGAGCAGCATCGGGCGCACACGGTCGAGGGCAGTGAGGGCGTGGACGAGACGGGCAGAAGTCGGCTATAGGAATCGAGCGTGGTGTGGTGGAGGAGAGCAGCGGGCCTGGTCTGGCTGATTGGATCTGGGATACTCGACAAAAAGAGGCAGGCGCACTGGTGGATCCAGCCTATCCATCCACGAACCGCCCGGCTCGAAGCCCCCAAGCCTTCTGGAAGCTTTCGCGCCGTCACAGCCAAATGCTATACGAGCGCTCCGCTGCGTCAACGTCAGCCCTGCACCTGCGCTTGGCCTAGGGCGCGCTTTCATTTGCCTCCCAACGTGATCAAAGTGCCAACGTCGCCGCGCCCGCCCACTAGCTGTCGCTGCGTGAAGTGCGAACCCAGAGAGCCAAGCTCACTCTGAAACGCTTCCCCAGGGGCGGCCCAGTTCCCGCCTGCGCTGCACTGATTACATACAGCACGCCCGCCCCAGCCAACTCAACCTGCTACTCGCTGTGCGCTGGCATCGCACGCCCGTCTCCATGGCTGCAGCATGCATCGCACGCCCCTCGCTGTTGCCACACAGCGTCGTCATCTGCCCGAGCAACCCCATCACGGCCCCATGCAGAAATATTCTGGAAACCGAAAGTGGCGACTCACTGTCACGCCCTGCTGCTACTTGCCGATGCCTCGGGCACGCTATCCACGTAAGCAGCCTGGTCCGTGACCACCTCGCAGCCTTGCTCGCTCCATACACTGGATTCAGCAAGGAGCTGCCTTGACCCTGCCGAACAGACACACGATAAGGCCGTGAGGCTGCTGATCTAATTCTTGGTCAGCGGAATCCGGGGTCGTCGCCCACACGGCAGTAGCCTGCAAGTACATGACAAGTACTGACAAGCTCTGCCTGCACGACTCAGTCCGATCCCGGCGCAACTCTGATAGGCAGCTAACCTCCACAAATAGGACGGTTCTTTATAGGCTGCGGGCGTGCAGATGACTGCAAGCGGCGCCTTCGTCTGTGTTGGTACATCGCACGACCCTGCAAATACACGGCACGCATAGTACTACAAAGACCGTTCGCCATTGAGATCCACCAACGGCCCTTTAAGCCACAGACTACGGTCGACTATGTTTGAGATAGGAGAACCAACCCATTCAGCTGACATGCCACCAGGCGCCGGTTGCGCGTTGGACATGTTGACGTCCAATCGAACAATTCTGAGTCAGTTACATGTACCAAGCACATGGTTCACTATCTCTGCCATGGCGCCGTCTATCTCGTCTACATCTTACACTGCACTCATACAGAGGTAAGGTGTGAATTGCGATCGCCACAGGTGCATCGTGAAGCTCTCAGCTTCCTTCCCACAATGGCTCACCAAATATGAATTTACCTGGGCATGGCTTTCGTGGTGACTGCATGGTGCCACGAGTATGTCCTTTTGCTCACTTATCACGTGGGTCAAGACCATATGTCTAGATAGCAGTTCTCTCAGTACCGAAAGACGTCTTCAAATCCATGCCAACAGTCGGGCTGATGCTCGGAACTCGCAATTCTAGTAACTGAAGGACTCTTCAATGTTGGGCTGCCGAATGTCAAGACACCAAGACATTCTCGACCCTGAACTACCGTCTATCTTCGCATAGCCATCGACATTCATTGCATTCGGAACGATTCTGATGCTATTGTCGCAGATAGGGAGGCGCAGCTATGTTGACCTCTCTGTTCGGGCCGCAGTTCGTCCGGCGTTCATGTGGGGAGCACTGGATTGCCGAGATATTCGGACTCCTGTGTGTCTTACCTCAGCGGGCGATTTGCAAGTGCTACGTGATGTTACAGCGCCCGGCAGAGCCAGAATCTAACTTACTCTTGAGGAGAGATTAGATTCGATGCCTAAGCAGAGTCCACGACGCGGTCTAGTTAACGCAGTATTATAACATAGTAAAGGGCCTATACCTAGCCTGTTAGACGCAGGAGATTATTAGTAAATGTTTACAATACAAACAAAATGTATTTGTTTGAAAGGAGAAGCTCGCGATAACCTATAGGAAGAGACCTAGGAAAAACTAATTTACAATACTCTCCGTAATGGCTATCGAGGTCTCGATTATGATCATGATCAGAACTTTGGCAAAACGAGGACTAATGTGATATAAAGGTCGCTCGTGATTCGTACCATATGATGCGTGTCATTGCTGAGCCACTTTTTTAGGTATCACCGCTAGGCTCAAGGTAGTATCTACTGCCGATTTCCTTCCTTATGCTTTCTCTCCGTCTTTCAGCTCTCGCGTCTCTAAACCATTTGATGGGATTGATTGGTATCACCCGATATGATCCAATTTGTACACCCGGTTCTTCCTTGCGAGTCTGTTTCCGATCCGCTGAGCCTGCGCTTCTTTTCCCTTCTTTTCGCCCCATATAACTTTTCGCTTTGTCATTCGACTCGTCGAGTTTTCCCTTGCTCAACGATCGCCATCGGTGCCGCCAACCACTGGTCTTAGGCTCTAACTGTTGGTGAGAGCTTCCATCGTCATGATTTGAGTCAACGTCATAATCAAGACTGGTGTCACCACCTGCTGGTAATCTGACGTCTCCATTATCAGAGTCTTCGCTGTCTGAATCCTCAAACCCATCCCAAAAGCCACGAGGGCGCCAGAAGGGATGGAGGGTGGTTTGTTCTTCCCCATCAACTTCGGTGGATTCAGGTGGAACATTTTGCCCCATAGGCGAGTCTGAAATAGCAGTCGGGCTTCTGGAGTTCCCACGTAACCGCCGCAAAAATGTGGGTAACGTGAGTGAAACGCCAGTAGTCCTTGACTCGTGTTGTGGCTGAAGCAAATCTTCCGACTCAAGCGAATCTTCCGGTCCGGGAGGGATGAACATAATTTTTGGTGGAGGAGGTGGTTCATCACCACGGAGAGTGGTGTTGGTGTTGCGAAGGAGCTCTCCTGAACGCTTGCTAACAATCTCGCCACCACCATGACTGTTTTCGGAGATGAAACGTTCAAGCTTCATATCTTGTAGTCTCGGAGAATTTCTTCGACCAGCTTGTACTATTGGAGTATTCTCACGAGCATCCTGGAACTTGGATGTAATTTGATCCCATGATGTATCCACCTCTCCTTCAAGATGGCCGCGTATATCTGGTACTATCTCTTGCTGCTGGAAGTCTTCGTCAATGCTAGGGTCTCTTTGTAGAAAGAATGCCTCTCGGCTGTCGAAAGAGCGACGTGAATTGAGGGATGATCTTGCTGAAACTGTAGATGAATTACTTCGCTTGAGCTCCACAACGCTTTGCCGGGCAACGTTCGTGTCTGAACCCCCTTGGACCTCGTCAGACATGTAATGGGTCTGCGGAATCGCGAAAAGAGCAAGTTGCTCTAGATGCTTCGCCAGGTGAGACTTTAGTATGCTCGCGTGCTTGCCGCATAGTGTACATGATCCATGCTGCGCTTTCGAAGGTCGCTGGAAGGCGCCTCGTAAGCTGAGAAGTTGGGTTTCATTGATGCGCTCGGAGTGATCAACGTGCATGTGCTCTAGGAAATCTTTCATCTCATTGATTGGCTCGTGTGATGCAGTGTTACAGAACCACTCGACGCGATGCGTGTTTGACTCATGATTGTACCAGTCATTTAGACTTTCGAAGAAGTACTCGTGAAGTTGACAGTCTGAGTATGTGCAAGTATATGGTTGGAGATCGAAAAGTACATGCTTCCTGGGGCAAGAAGTAAGCCGAGAAGCTGTACGATATTGCGTAGTAGCTGACTTACCTCCATCGACGCTCAGATGTTATGGCCTGACCAGTGAAGCAGTAAGGACATATGAACTGATCGAGATATCTTCCGTCTTTTCCTCTAGGTCGGTCGGGAACTCTGACAGGAATGTCGTTCTCGGTCTGCTCGGACGCGACCGAAGACATTGACTGTATGGAAGGCGCGTACAACCCAGGTACTGGCAATGGTAACGGTTTGGGTTCGGTGGGTCTAAACGTGGTCGCCTTCGTTATGTCCGTGTGATGGCTATGAGTCTTCACACTTGGAGTCGCCTCGCTGGTTTTACCGTACTCGATTGGCCCTGACTTGTTGTCGCGAGCCACTTTTTGGACATCATCTGCTGTAGCCTCGTCTTGTAGGAGGTTTGTGTGATCATTACGATACTTCAGGAGTTGTCTGCGTCTGGAAATCATTTTAGCTAGACGTGCGGCAACCGTCTCGTCGACCATGGGGAATTTGGCGCGAACGTGCATGAGATCAAAGGCGAGATAACCTGACATATCGGCTGTGGCTTGTTTCCGCACTCGATCAACCGGCGCAGGGCGTCTAATGGGTATCCTCCAAAGACAACCGACAAGAAACTTGATCGAGTCCAACGATGCTGTTTCGGCAACCGCTGCACTATGATCCTGAAGCGGAGGGTTGATGACTGTCCTGGGAATTTTACTCTGCTGTAGCTTCGGAGCTACGGTTTGCTCCACATCTGAGTCGGAAGAAACCTCCCACGGTGATTCAGGGCCTGCTTCGTCCGTACTGATACTGGAAGCACGAGAATCATCTTCTGGGTCTTCGTATATCCCAGAGGTTTCGCGTTCAACAGATTGCAGCGCTTCCGTGTCAGTCAGTCAAGGCAATGAGTCTGTTTGTGAATTCTGTACCTTTTTCCAACTAACACACGAGCCTTGAGTCAGTCACTAAACGGACATGCGTGAGACGAGCAGGTAGCAGGTGCAACGAAAGAGAAAAACGATCTTCTTACTGAGCTTTGCAGATGTCGCATCAGAGATAAGACCTACCGATTGAGTCAGCTATAGCATCAATATAGAGTCCCTGATCATTACTTGTTCTTTGTAGAAGGTAGCTTCTCTAAGCCGGTAGTCCAGTGACATCCTGTATTTCGTGCCACTATGCATAGCTCCCACATTACCAGCCCAAAGTTTGTATCTATCGAGGACATCGCGTACCTCTTCCAGAGACGTTTCATGATGTGAGGAGGTACTGAGTGCTTGGGCGAGACCCATAAATGCCGCAAGACATTCCGCGTGCGTTTGGGATATTGCGCTATCCATACCTCCACTACGTCGTTGACGATCGGAGGTTTGAGTAGGTTGCGGCGAACGATACACGCGGCTGAGATATGAAGCGGGGGCAGGATCGATGGGTTGGCTCAGCTAGCGTCTTTTATGGCTTAGCACGTACACATTCGGTGTGGTGGGGTCGAGAGCAAGGCACCCTCAGCATTGCCTCCTCGTTCTTCTCACCAGACATTTCCAAGGATCCTTGACGCTGTTTTATCGCCCTGAATACCCCAACTGTCAAGGTCATAACATACTGGAATTTAGCTTTCATTTGAGAGTCTTCTTGCTGCACCATGAAGGACTAGCTCAGTCCAAGGCTACACTGGTCGGACTTTGCCACGTTGCCAGCCTGCCCATCATGTCGGGATTTGAGGTCGCAGGTGTTGTTTTGGGATCGATCCCGTTGATAATATCAGCGTTGGAACACTATGCTGATGGAGTATTGATCCCCGTCTCTGAAACAACCATCGCTAATTATCAGCCCAGCTTTCAACCATCAGGAGCATGCGAAAGTACGAAGATGTCTTCGGACATATGCATGCATCCTTTGTTACAATTGCTTGTATATACAGAAACTCATGCGAGGACCTTCTGTGCCCATTGGCATTATCAGATATTCAATTGTATCAGTTGCTAGAAAAGCATGACAGTCCATCATGGGAAAGCGTAGAGCTCAACGACGCCTTGCGAAGTCGACTGGGTAGCAGCTATGTACCATTCAAGTTGGCGGTCAAGCAGCTTAACAAAGGGCTCAGGCTCCTTGGGAGGAAACTCCAGCTATGCGACGACTTTCGGGTTGGTTACCACTGATCATCATTACCTGGGTAGCGCTCGCTGACAAGTGGTAGCCGCCATGGACAACACCCACAGGCAACGTCGACATCCACGCACGGGATCGGTTTTTCAATGACCCCTGGGTCAGGATCAAGGGTGGCTTCAAGTCGAAGCCCTATCAAAAGCTACTGTCATCAATTGAGGAAGACGTAGACCGCGTTTCGAGACTCACGGCGGGAGCAATATCACTGGAACCAATGCGACTACAAAGAAAGCGAAAAGCCAATACAGATTCTCTTGTGAGATTTCGGGGGCAAGCAGAGAAGTTGTACGATGCTATCAATTCCCGGTGGTCTTCAAAATGCATGTGCACGTACACACACCAAGCAAATCTCTGTCTAGATTTCCAGGCCGACTACGAAAAACGCAACCACTCCACCTTCAAGCTGGTATTTACGTTTGAAACATCAATACCCGGTACTACTGCTTCTTGGCAAGCATGTCCTGTCGAGATTGAGACTGTCGATATAGCTACTGCGACAAAGCCCGGCAATGGCTCGTTGATACCCAGTATCATCATACATACAGACAACGTAAAGCAACATCACTGGGACTGTCTAGGGAGAGCTCCAAGTATCAACAACCTGTGCACAGCGCTCAAAAGCTTTCCAAATTCAGATTGTATTGGAGTGTTGCACAGCAAGTTTGCCCAACACCATCTCCACACTTTACGTCTCCCTACTGCAAGCCGAGCAGACAAAAGACACAGCTTACAAGAACTTTTGGAAGCGCAAGGCACTGCTTTTCACGTCAACGAGAAATGCACGCTAGCCCTGACCTTGGCTTCTGCAGTCTACTACCTTCATGACACTCCATGGCTGGAAGAGACGTGGGATTTGAATGACATCTGCATTCTAGATTCTTCGGTGCTATCAGACCAAACGTATATATCAAGAGAGTTCCCTTCGAATCCAAGACCGACAGCATCGAGCCAGCGGATCGCCATCATCAAGAACAGTATTGTCTTCGCTCTTGGTGTCGCACTGCTAGAGATGTCATACGGAAAACCGATCCAGACATTCGAAATCGCAGATGATCTAGAATCTGGTAGACGGACGATCTTAACCGACTTTCTCATAGCTCAGCGACTGGCAAACGGATTACGCACGCGAGAGTTGCCGAACTACGCAACTGCCGTACAGCGGTGTGTTCTTTGCAATTTCGAAACATCAGTGTTCAGCCTGGATGATGATGACTTCAAAGAAAGGTTCTATCAGGGTGTGCTTGTGCCTCTCAAGAAAGACTACGAGTACGTCATCGCACAAACAACGACATGAGTGGCAACGGAGGCTGCGTGGCCGGCCGGCATGGGGTGTTCGTTCATTCTTTTCTATAGTACATTACAATACAATCCGTGAGAGTCTACTTTGATGGCCAAGCTACTGCGAAACCACAATTTTACACCTCCCACAAATCTCCTCCTTCTCCTCCTTGACAAAGCGCCAACACCTCGGGCACTTCTCCCCACTAGGCGGATGCACCAGCACCTTCGCCTTCCCCAACACTCCCGCGTCGCTCGAAAGCGTTTCCTCCTCCCACCACTGCGACCGCTGCTTCAACGTATCAGAATCCTCCGCCGTGAACACATTGTTCGCAAAAAACGACCCTGTTGGTGTCCAAAAGTTGACCTCGCTGATGACGAAGAGACCAGCGAGTTGGCTTTCGAGTTGATCTAGCGTGAGAAACGTAGGCTCCATGCAAGCCGAGAGTTCCGTGTAGAAGTTCTCTGGGTTGGTCGTTTCTGGTAGGTAAATTGTTGCGGCGCTTTCGAGACTTGAACCGATCTTCTTCTCGGCACGGAGGCGCTCTTGTGCGATCTTGATGGCTGCGCCCAGCGTGCTAGTTGTCTCGCTCATGGCCTCCAGACTAGCAGATTCAGACGCCGCGAGCGCGGGAAGAGGCGACCAAAGCGCGCGTGCAGGATGAGCACTCTTCTCTTTGAGCTCTGCAGGAACATGATCCCAGACCTCTTCGACAAGCAGCGGACAGACTGGAGCGAGCATCTGCAATAGCTCATAGAAAATGAGACCCAAAACGCGCTGAAGTGTCTCGCAGTCCTTTGTATCGCCAGTGTACACGCGATCTTTGAGTGTTTCGAAGTAGAAAGCGCTCAGATCCATGGAAATGTACTTGTTGATCGCGTTCACACCTTTGAAGAACTCGTATCTGCCAAAGTGGTTGTGCACTTCCGCGCTGACTTGTACCAGTCGGTGGACAGCGAGGCGGTCAGTGAGTTCGCTGAACTCGGCGATGGTAGGTGTGAGCTCGTTGAAGGACTTGAAGGGTGGTGGGCATGATGAAAGCGAGAAGATGCCTAGCAGCCATTTAAAAGTGACGCGGTATTTGTGGAGGGCTTGGTTTACGGACATCAGGACGGGCTGCCCGATTGTGACGTCGCGCGTGTAGTCGCTGCTTGCGGCCCAGAGGCGGAGAGCATCGGCGCCCATGGCATCGTATGTTGGCGTGTGCTTAGTTGCTGGGTCTTGCTTGACGCCTTTTTGCTTCTTCCGCTTGATGGGAGGAAGGAGTTCACCAGACATGATTTGAGATGGAGAGATGACGTTGCCAAGAGATTTGCTCATCTTACGGCCGTCGGAGTCGAGAGTGAAGCCATGGGTAATCAGAGTCTTGTATGGTGCTTTGACGGTCTCTGTGGAGTAAGGCTGGGTTGCGACGTGGGTAAGGAGTGATGACTGGAACCAGCCGCGGTGTTGGTCAGTGCCTTCAAGGTATACATCGGCAACAGGCTTGTCTTTTTGCTGCGGAAGGAGCTTCCAACTGGTACCACTATCGAACCAGACGTCCATGGTATCTCTACCACGTACGTATGTTCCGGTGAGATGCTTCGGCTTCCAGGCTGGATCGTCCTGCGCATCAGTCCACCAAGCATTGATACCACGTTCTTTGATCACCTCAATGATATGATCGATGGTTTCAGAGTCCATGGTGGCTTTCAGTGTATCACCCTCGACTTTGTACAGAGCTGGAATAGGAACACCCCAAGCGCGCTGGCGCGAGATACACCATTGGCTGCGTCCCTGGATGAAGCTCTCTAGACGACTTCTGCCAGTTTCAGGCATGAATTTGACGTCGGCGATTGCTTTCATCGACGCGTCCTTAATCCCTTCTACGTTGGCGAACCATTGTTCCGTAGCGCGCGTGATGACAGGCTCCTTAGTTCTCCAGTCGATAGGATATTTATGGCGGTAGTTTTGCTTGCCTCGAAGCATGTCTAGTTTCTGGAGATAATTGCACACAGCATTGCTACCCGACTTCTTGATATCAGCGACAGGTAGACCTTCCAGAAGCTCGGGCTGTTCCGGAAACGCGTCCTTAGTGAAAGCACCAGCATCATCTATGGGGGCAAAAGCTGGAACGTTGAGCGCCATGCAGACGTTGTAGTCGTCCATACCATGTCCAGGAGCGAGATGGACTAGTCCAGTACCTGAGGAGTCGGTGACGAAGTCGGCATGGATTATCGACTGTAGTCCATTTGCCTTTTGGAACGGATTCTCGTACTGAACTTGACCGGCAAGGTCTGCACCACGCACGTCTGCAGTAACTACTTCGAGCTTCCGCTCAAGGATCTTCTCGTACTCCGCTACTCGTGAAGCTGCGACCAGGATCAGCTCACCATCCTTCTCAGCATCCTTGACTACGCAGTAGTGCATGTCCTTGTGAACCGCGATCGCCTGGTTCGCGGGCAGAGTCCAGGGTGTGGTCGTCCAGATGGCTACGCTAACTTCACGGTCTACCTCCTTCAAGGCCCCGTTCCTCAAAGCCTCCGAAAGATGTACTGGGTATCGCACAAAAGCAGCTAAGCTCTTGTGACCCTCATCGTATTCCAACTCGGCTTCCGCGAGCGCTGTTCTCGAACTTGGGCTCCAGTAGACGGGCTTGAACTGCCTGTAAATCAAGCCCTTCTCAAACATGCTCTTGAACACTTCCAGCTGTCTGATCTCGAAACCGCGCTCCATCGTTTGATATGCGTTATCCCAGTCACCCATGACAGCCCATTCCTTGAAGCCGCGCTTCTGTTCTTCAATCGTCCGAGTCGCCAGTTCGCGCGCAGCGTCACGCACGCTCACTGGGTCGGCTTGCGCCGCATC